TCCCAGTTTGCTTACAATATCAGCCTTTATATCTAAATCATGAATCCATTTTGACTTTATTTTGGTATATGGTGTGAGATTTTGATCAATGCCTAGTTTCTGCCATACTCTTTTCCAGTTTTCCCAGCAGTTTTTCCCAAACAGTGGGTTCTTATCCCAGAAGCTCCCATGCTTTTTAGCATGATGTTTTCAGCCATGCTGTCAAAAATGCCTTCAATTAAGACAAAGACAGCATCAAGGTCAGCTACCACACTGACAGCAAATTTATTTAACTTGAAAAGGCTACAAGCCAAGACTAAAGTGGAGGGAGAATTGGTGCCTCATTTTTGTTTGCAGATGATTGTGTACTCGATGCAGCCTCTGAAGCTAAGATGTAACAAATGTGGATTGATTCTTGTGCTAATTATGGCCTAACAATGAACACCAAGAAAACACAGGGGCTCCACCAGCCAGCACCACACCATCTATACACGGAACAGTTAGTTACAGCAAATGGAAAAGTCTTGAATACTGTAGATAAGTTCACTTACTTTGGTAGTATACTTTCCAGGGATGTACACATTGATAGAGGTTGACACACGCATTGCTCAGTGTTTGGGAGGCTCTGAAGGAAAGTATGGGAGAGTAGAGGTATTAGACTGCCTACCAAACCAAGGGTATACAGAGCCAGTGTGGTGGTCTCATTGCTGTCTGCCTGTGAAACTTGGACAGATTACCCAAGCCATGCCAAAAAACTGAATTGTTTCCATCTGAATTGTCTTAGGATGATTCTGAAGATCATTTGGCAGGATAAGGTACGGACACTGAGGTCTTTCTCAAACTGAACTGCCAACCATTCAAACTATACTGCGAGAGAGCCCAACTCTGATGGGCAGGCCATGTTATTTGAATGCCAAATGTACACGTGCCTAAAAGACTTATGGAGAACTCATACAAGGCAAGTGCTCACATTCTGGTCAGAAGAAGCGATACAAGGACACTCTCAAGATCTCTCTTAAGAACTTGGGAATTGGGGGCAGCTAGGTGGCGCAGTGGATAGAACACTGGCCCTGACATCAGGAGGACCTGAGTTCAAATCCAGCCTCAGACAAAACACTTGACATTTATTAGCTGTGTGACCCTGGGCAAGTCACTTAACCCCAATTGCCTAAAAAAAAAAACCCCAAAAAAGCCTTGGGAATTGATTGGGTGACATGGGAGATGCTGGCAAAGGACTGCCCAGCATGTGTGCCCTCATCAGAGAAGGTGCTGTGCTCTATGAACAAAGCAGAATTGAGGTAGCTAAGAAAAAACCCAAGACATGCAAATTTAGAGAATCTACTCCAAATGTTCACATGGACTATTTGTGACAAACCTGTGGTAGATCATTCTGAACTCATATTGGTCTGATCAGTCACACACAGTTGGAGACACTGCAACTTGACTCTAACATAGTGATGTCATTTTGGTCCTCTTTAAGAATTAAGGACAACAACTACCCCCAATCTGTTTCTATAGCCTGTTGATCTCACCTCTGCAATATCTCTTAAGTGTGCTCCTTCTCTCCTTTAACACTGCCACTACTGTAGCACAGGCCTTTATCACCTTACACCTGGACTGTTGCAATTGCCTGCTTGGGGGGGAGGGGGCAGGAATATGCCTGCCTAGTCTCTCTCCATTCCAGCCTCCATTTAACCACTAAAGTGATTTTCCTAAAATTCCCCCAAATAAATCCCAGTTGTTCCTGTTGCCTCCAGGAGCAAATACAAAGTGCTCTGTTTGGCATTCAAAGCCCTTTGTAAACCTAACACCCTCCTACTTTTCCAATCTTCTTATACCTTACCTCCCAACATGTACTCTTTGATTCAGTGACAGCTGGCTCCTCACTGTTCCATGGACAAAACACTACAGCTCTAAGCTTCAGACATTTTCTCTAGCTGTCCCCCATGCCTAGAATGCTCTCTCTTCCATTCCAAATACTGACCTCCCTGGTTTCCATAAGTCCCAACTAAAATCCCACTTCTTACAGAAAGTCTTAATTCCAGTGCCTTCCCTTTGTTGATTATTTCCTATTTATTCTATGTGTAGCTTGCTTTGCATATATTTATGTGTTGTCCTCCCAATTAGATTGTATGCTCCTTAGGGCAAGGACTGTCTTTTGCCTCTTTTTGTATCCTCAGCACTTAGCACAGAGCCTGGCAAGTAGTAGGTGCTTAATGTTTATTTAACTGAATCTTCACAACAACACTGTAAAGTAAGTACTCTCACATTATCCTCATTTTACAGATGAGGAAACTGAGTCTGAAGGAAGCTAAGTAACTTGCCTAGAGTCAAACAGCTATACCTGAGGCAGGTTTCAAACTCATAGGCTTTGAACACAGTGTTACCTGACTCAACACAAAAGCCACTCAATAAGATGCTGAAAGAGTCCAACAATACGTGTGCAGTGCAAGGCTTCGTGACATACTGTCCATAGTTCTGGAAGAAATTGTCCAATTGTAACAGATGACAAAAGATGAAAACATTCAATGCTGTAGGGGCTCTGAGAAAATAGGTACATTGTTGGTGGAGTTGTGAAGTGTTCCAACCATTCTAGATTTTAATTTGAAATGGTAAGGAAAGGGACTCAACTCTCCGCGCCCTTTGAATCAGCGATCCCACTAACAGATATATGCCACAAGGAAAATAAAGACAAAAACCAAGTCCAACACATACCAAAATATGCATAGCAGCACAATTGGTGGTAGCAAAAACTGGTAACAAGAGAGGTGCCCATCAAGTGGGTTAGAACTGAAAAAATTATGGTATATGAATTGTAATGCAGAACATTATTGTATCATTTTAGGTAGTGGGCCCTTTAAGCCATGGAAAGCAGAAATTACTGCTTAATCTTGCCCCAGACTCTCTTCCTAAATCTAAACAATAGTGAGATGTACTCTTGCATAGCTCAGCACAGCCCATATCTCCAACGCAAATGGATAAGAAAGCTTGCAGTATAATTGCTTTAGATAATTATTTTTAAACTAGAGACCAGGACACCTGGTCTGGTTTGTGTGATGCCTGACCTGTAATGATGGGGTGCGCGGGTGCTTGTGCTTGTACTTGTGCCCCGATTTCTCCCTAGTCTCAGAAACACTGTCTCTGACAACCACTCCCCAGCCCAAGGACACTGTGCCTAGCAGTTATTCATGTATGGGCCTCAGCACGACCCTTATCTCTCTCCTTGGTACAGCTACACAGAGCTGGGGTGCTCAGGCCCCAGCCCTCAGATCATGTCACTGGAAGCCTCCCAATTCCTTAGTAAGTTCCTGTCTTGTGAGAAAGCTTTTCCTTGTTGCAGAGCATTCTTTCATCAAGACAGAGGGAGAGGGGTGCCTTGGCCAGACCAAGGACTCTTCCTCCTGCCAGACTCCAAAGATCCATACCTCTGTCATCTCCCTCCCTGTCCAGTATACTCCCTGTACTTTCCCATCCATAGCCCCCAAAGACAGGTGCACCTTTGGATTACCTCATCAGTGTTCCTGGCATTTCTTTCCTGTGCTCTTTTCCATATAAACCCTAGCTCGACCCCTGATCAGGGCTGCTTGATTTGGGTGTGCATACCCCTTGCAGCCTGACGCTTCAATAAACCTCCACTTTAAATTCTAATTGGGTCTTTGTCTTGCATCTGTTCCAGCACAACAGAATATAACAGAATCTTATTGTATAGTAAGATGTTAAAATGAAGAATTCAGAGAAATATAGAAGATTTTTTTAATTGATAGAGAAATAAGTACAACATACAAAATGAATATCAGCATGTAAATGAAAAGATTACTTAAAAGGAGAAATTCAGAATGGGACACAGACTGGTAAGGCAGTTTTGTTACTATGTTGAATTTAAAAGACACTTCAAAAACTGTACATAACAAAAGTTCAGTTTCATAGGCAATTGCCTTTCATATTTGTTGATCTTTGTTAGGTTCATAACAAAAAAAAATGACAACAATTAACACTGGAAGGTGCCTTAGAACAGCTAATGTTAAAACATCATTATGTACCCTCTTAGGCAGATAGGCAAGGCCCTACTATGACAGAATATTATATATACTGTCCAATGTGTGGCCATTACTAGATGTTTTTGTTTTAAGAGTTTTTCTTTGTCACAGAAAAAAGTTCAATTTGATGGGGGAAGGATTGAAATGACTGACAAGGACAAAGATTACAAGAAACAGGTTGTACCTGTGTATAAAAAGAAATCATCTTTTTTCCTACGTATTTACTTGCTAAGTGCTAGAGGTGCAAAAAAGGAAAACGAATGTCAGTGATAAATTTAAAAATTCACAGAAGTTCAGAATGGGACACAGACAAGCAGGGCAGGGTTTTTTAAATTTTAACACTACCATGTTGAATTTAATACACACTTAAAAATTTTACATGACAAATTCAGTTTTATATATACGAAATTACCTTCGTACTTTGTATACGGAATTTTCACATTCGTTGATACTTGTCCCAAATGTGTCAAAATGCCCAAGGTGATCCTTAAGCAGTACGGTGTGGGTGGTAAATGGCAAAGCCACAAACCTTTGTGACAGAAAATCCAGGCTTTCCCACCTCACTAGGAAATGGTCCACAGATTTACTCTATGAACTACAGCTCTTTTTATTTAAAAACAAAAACATCTGTTTTACAACAACACTCTGGGGTACGGCTGGAGCTCCCGGTTACCGCTCTCCTGACATGACAGCTCCCACTCCGCGCTGCTGCGGCGGCAGGTCACGGGCTTGGCTCCGGAACGACCTCCACGCACGACCTCGGACAGGGCTCTGCCCTCCCGGTGCGGTGAGGGGGTGAGATGCCAACCACGGCTAACGCCCCTTCGGCCTCAAACCAACGCGCTTTTCTCACCACTGCCGGGTGAGGATATTAGATCTACTTTCCAGACCGAGAAGCGGCAGCTAGAAGTTAGCGTCTCTGCCACCCCCTACTGGGGCGCCGCGGTCCGGCCGCTGGGGTCAGGAGCTAGCGCCCTCCCCCGGCTGGAGGCCCCGCCCGGCGCTTCCGCCCGCCCCGCACCGTGCGCGAGCCGCGGAATGCAAACGGGGCGAAGGGAGGGATCGCTGCGCGCCGTGCCCGCGTCAGCCCCGCCGGACCTGCTCCGCCTCGGGCCGCCATGCAGGGCTCGCTGCGCCAGTGGCGCCGGGCCGCCACGCTGATGCTGGCCGCGGGCCGTGGCCCCCCGAGCCTGGCCGCCGCGGCCGAGGACTACGAGGTGCTGCTGCTGCAGCGCACTCAGAACAGCAGCTTCTTGCCCGGCGCCCACGTCTTCCCGGGCGGCGTCCTGGAGGCCGCGGACTGTTCGACGGACTGGCTCTCCGTCTTCCAGCCCCACCACGGGCCGCCGCGCTTTGGCCTGCCCCTCGCCGGGCCCAGGGAAACCTACCCCGAGGTGGCCTTAGCGCCCTGGCCTGGTTGTCACTCGCTCATCCCTGAGGACGTGGCCTTTCGCATCTGCGCCATCCGGGAAACCTTCGAGGAATCGGGCATCCTCCTGCTGCTCCCCTCCGGCGCCCAGGCCCCGCACCTGGCCCGGGCGCATGCGCCGCCCGAAGACCTGGCGGCCTGGAGGGCCAGGGTCCAGGAAGACCCTGGCCAGTTTCTCCAGCTGTGCCAGCGCCTCGGCTGCGCACCCAATATCTGGGCTCTGCAAGAGTGGAGTAACTGGCTCACGCCGTTTGTGAGGAAAGGAGGGAGGCGCTTCGACACGAGGTTCTATGTCTGCTGTCTGCAGAGCAAACCCCAGACCTTCCTGGACATGCAAGAAGCGATTAAATTCGAGGTAAAGGGGAAACTCCTTCAGGACTCGGCTAAGGAGAGCTGCAAGGGGGGGGGGAATGCCCTCGTAAACAGGGGCTTCTGAAGCGTCCTAGGTCCTAAACACACGGAAAGCCCGGGACGGGGAAAAAGGAGCCCCTGGCACTAACAGTTCTGACTGTCACTATGGGCATGTCATTTCCCCTTCCCGAATCACATCTTTTCTCATCCTTAAAATAATACTCTCTTAGACGCATATCTATTATTTGAATCATAGTTGTCCTTCCTTTTTTTGTGTGTGGGGGGGAAGGCATTGCAAGCTCATTGAGGATAGGGTGGTGTAGTAGAGGCGTGGGTGCAGGATTTGGAGTCGTAAGGTCTGGGTTTAGATCGTAATTCTTGACATCTAGTTGTGTGACCACTGGCGAGTAAGCCACCAAATCTCTAAGTGCCCGTTTTATGGTAAAATTGGGGATAAGGATGGTTATATGACCTATCGCTGTGGGCTTGGTTTAATGGATAGAGGTCTGGTGCCCAGTCCTTCCTTTGAGGTCTAGTTGTATGCCTCTCCATAAATCACTTAACTTTTCAGGACTTAACACAGTGCCTGGCACATAGTAGGTGCTCAATAAATGTTTATTGAATTGAATTGAATCACTACTTTGAGGCAACTGTAAAATTAAGGAATAGAGAAGGGACTTAGCAGGTTGTTTCAAGAAAAGTCCTTTTTAACACTCAGCTTATGAGTTATCTCGTACCGAGTTTGGCATAGAAACTTAATAAATGTTTGTTCAGTTGAGTTAATGCAATGAACTTTTAAGGTCTCTTTCAGCTCTGACTCAGAATATTCAACACACTGTAATTCAAAGAACTAACACAGTCCTTGTCCTTGAGGATTTATTTTCTACTGGAATGTTCCTACTCATTTGCAGTTAAGTATAATACAAGGTTGGGGCAGCTAGGTGGCAGTGGATAGAACGCCTGAGCTGGAAAATGAAATGGCAAACCACTACACTATCTCTGCCAAGAAAACCCCGAATGGGGTTACCAAAAGCCAGACACCACTGAAAAAATAATTGAACAACAACACAATACAAGGAGAGAGCAAAATACAGATCCATTCCAGTTTTACACAGGTGGAGAGCACATGAAGGGGAAGGAGATAAGGTTGGAACCATAGATGGTAATTCCTTCAGTGCCCAGTAATGGAATTCAAACTTCAGTAACTTTTTATTGCCTATAAAATAAATAAAGATTTTTGAATAGAGGAGTGACGTTGCTATCTCTACGAATAAAGGTAATTCTCATGACATTATGGAGCATAGATGAGAGGGGAACCTTAGGAAGACTGTTGTGGTAATAAAGGCATTAGTGGTAGGTGGATGGTTTTAATAGGAGTAGAAAGGAGGGAACCATTCAGTGATTATTGATTCTCGCCTACAAAATACAGACAGAGGTCTGTAATTTTAAGGTTTTAAGGGATTTTAAGTTTGCGTAGTGATTTACTTGCATCATGTCCAGCTGTCTGTTGAACATCTCAACTAGGATGTCTTGTAGGCATCTTAAACTCAGCATATCTAAACTGTTGCCTCCAACATGGATCTTTTCTTAGTATACTTGATCTGTCTCCGTTGACTTTCCCATCTCTGTTCCCATTAGTGCCACTTACACTTCTTCTATAAGCACATCCAGAAGTGGGATGATGGAATCCAAGGGTAGATAGCTGCACTTAGTCCTTGATGGTGGAACAGTTTATAATATAAATCTTTGTAGAACTTTTCCATTTTTCTTTTTTATTACTTTCCTTCCATTTTCATCTTTAAATGGCCTACATATAGCTTTGCTTAGTTGTGTCTCACTGGGCTTTCTTTAAAATTGTTTTGTCCTCTGTTGCTTCTTCCTGCTTTACGAAAGTACTGTTCGTAATCTTCCTTTCTCATTCTGGGTAAGATTTTACAAATGGGTGTGTATTCCAAACAGGAATTTCCTTTGCCTGCCTTCTCTCTCTGCTTGGCAGATAAATGTTTTAATTAAAATGCTTTTTAGGCTCTTTAACTCTCCTTGTTATAGCAGTTGTTCAGTGTTGATATAATTTCTACTATTCTACTTCATTCCACTTCTCTACTATTAATAACTTGTTTAAATAGGTCAGAATTTATTTGTTTCATTTATATGCCTCATGTTTCTATCATTAGCATTCTTCTATTAACTTTATACTAATTCTTATCTTTTCAGGGATGACTTCAGTTATCAACAGTAGTCTTTTCCTATCTGTTAAACTAGAAATGTTCATTTTTTTCCTTATGTTATTCAGTGCTTATCATATCTAGTAGTATCTACCAATTATTTACCTGAAGAAAGACTTCTGTGTAATGTACAAGTATTTGACTCCACTCCACATTGACTCGCATTTCTTTTTAAAATATAAATTGTTTCTCTGTGAATCTACATTTGCCTCCTCAGAATTTCATTTTTGAGCATCTCCCATTCCTTCTGAGCAGACTTCTTTTGTAGAATTTTAGTCCATGGGATTCTACCTATTTTTCCTCTAAATACTTTGAAATCTGCTTTCCCAAAATCCAGTGGTCCATCTCACTTTTCCTCTTCTCTATCACACACTCAGGATGGAGTGGTCACTTTCCCTTAAGGTTCCCATAATTTCTACCCCAGTGTCTAGTTCTTCCAGTTTAATGAGAGTTCGATGCAAAATTGAGTTTCCCCTTGTTGATTCCTACACTTTTTGAAGGATAAAGTTATCATTAAAGCAACTTAATAAGTCGTTAACTGCTGTGCTGATAACATGTAGAGGGAGGTTTTGTAGGAAAGATAATAAGTTCAGTTTGGACATGTTCAGTTTAAGATTTTTACAGGACATTCAGTTTGAGATGTCCAATAGTTGGAAACCTAAGACAGAGAGGTTAGGCATGGATAAGTAGATCTGAGAATCATCAGCATAGAGATGCTAATTGAATCCAAGAGAGCTGATAAGATCACCAAGTGAAATAGTATAGAGGTAGAAGAGGACCCAGGACAAAGCACCATGAGATGCCCACCATTAGTAGTTGTGACTTGGTTGAAGATTGAGCAAAGGAGCCTCAGAAGGAGTGGTCCAGTGACACTGGCCTCCTTGCTGTTCCTCACACACAATACTCTGTCTCCCAGCTGAGCATTTTCACTGGCTTTCCCCTATTCCTGGAATGATCTCCCTCCTCATCGCTGCCTCCAGGCTTCCACGGCAAGCCAGCATAGTGTATTGCCATGGAAACCTATAAGAAGAAGAGTAATGTATGATGAGCCTAGAAAGATGGGGTTGGGCCAGGCTGTGAAGGACTTTAAAAGCCAAAAGAGAAGTTTTAATTTTATCTCAGAGGCAACAATAAGCTACTAGAATTAAGTGAGTAGAGGAGTGGCATAGTCGGATCTATGATTAACGAAAGTCATTCTGGGAGCTGAGTAGTATTCGGTGGTGTGGGAAAGGACTTGAAACAGGGAGACTAATTAGGAAGCCATTTCAGTAGTCCAAGAAGAAGATGAGGGGGGGGTGGTGAGGGCTTGAACTGAGGTAGTAACTTTGTAAATAGAGATTCAAAAGAGATTGCGATTGAAGTGTTAAAATCCATTGGTTACATGTGGTGAGGGAGAGTGAAGTATCAAGAATGATATTGAAGATACAAATTTGGGAGACTGGAAAGGTTCCAGGGAAGTAAGGAAGTTCAGTGGAGGGGAGGGACTGGGTGGGAAGATAATGAGTTCTGTTTTGAACAGAATGATTTGACCAAATAAATTAACAGATAATGAGAAAAGCAAAAAAATTCATTTGCCTTGTGTACCTTTTCAGTCTGTCTGAATTGCTACCTTTGACTTTTAGAAACTATGACCTTTGTCTTTCACAGTGGATAACTCCAACAGAAGCAATAAAAAATTTTTCATGTGAAGGAATATGGTTGGCACCGCCTCAGTTCTATGAGATGAGAAGACTTGGAAAGTTTGCTTCCTTATTGGACCTGCACAAATTTTGTTTGGACCGGAGTTCAGAAGGGCATGAAAGATGGCTGCCAATTACATTGCTTACCCTAGACGGTGCAGTGCAGCTCTTACCAGGTAAATTGGTCAATTTAAAATATTTTTAAATATTCTTATTGGAATAAATATAAATTATTAGTAATGCCATGTAAAACATTAGCTTTGCAAAGTACAATTTAATGCAAACTCTGCTAAATGTCCTATATGTTTAGAGAATCAAGTAAGGCCAAATACTTTATTATGTTCCTAAAATTTCATTTTACAGTTTCATTTCAACAATTAACATCAATTAGCTTTTACAAAGGTTATGACATATAGCACATATATGCAGTAGGTGGCTCAATGGATAGACTGTTGGGCCTGGAGTCAGGAAGACCTGAGTTCATATGTAGCCTTAGACACTTACTAGCTGTGTGACTTTGGGCAAGTCACTTAACTCTGTTTGCCTCAGTTTCCTTGTCTGTAAAATGAGCTGGAGAAGGAAATGGCAGTTTATCCTTCCCAAGAAAACCCCAGATGGCATCATGAAGAGTAGTACATGACTGAAAAGACTGAACAACAACATGTATTAAGAAGATAAAGAAGAAGATTGCAAAACATTCTCCCCTATGAGCAAGGGTGGGAGAGGGGATGGTCATCGTTATACTCTGCCATCTATCACTTCATTTTCTGAGAAGAGTGGGCTCACACTTAAAGCATTCACCCCACCAAGCTCATTTCCACAAGTGGAATAGGTGATGAATGACTCCTCATCTTTTTACTACCAGTGGACTAGGTCAGACAGGTCACTCTTCCGAGCCTCGGTTGCCCCTTCCTTGTGCTCAGGCTCCCACAAATCCACATATTTCCTTCAGCTCTTGAACATAGGCTGCTTGCTATCTCCGGTATTGTGCCTAAAAACAAGAAGAATAGACATTCATTCATTAAACATTTGTTAAGCACTTACCGTGTGCTAGGCAGTGGATACAATAAGAGGCAACCCAGCCCTTAAGGAGCTTACAGTCTGATGGGGGGAGACAACATTCAAACAAATATATACAAAGTAAGCTATAAGGATAAATAGGAACTAATTGAAAGAGGGAAGGCACTGGAATTAAGAGGGGTTGGGAAAAGCTTTCTGTAAAAGGTGGGGGTTTTAGTTGGGACTTAAAGAAAGCCAAGGAAGTCGGTTGTCTGAGCAGAGGGGGGGAGAGTGTTTCAGGCATGAGGGAAGGCCAGAGGAAATACCCGTAGTTAAAAGATGTAATATCTTGTGCAAGGAGGCCAGTGTCATTCTGTCAAAGAGTACATATTGGGAAATAAGGTGTACAAAAACTGGAAGGAGGGGGCCCGGTTATGAAGGGCTTTGAATGCCAAACAGGATGTTATATATTTGCTCCTGAAGGCAATTGGAAACCACTAGAGTTTATTGATTGGGGGTGGGAGGGACATGATCAGACTTGAATTTTAGGAAAATCATTTTAGTGGCTAAATGGAGACTGGTTTGGAGTGGGGAGAGACTTAAGGCAGGCAGACACCCAGCAGGCTATTGCAGGAATCCAGGCATTAGGTGATGAGGGCCTGCACTAGAGTCATGGCAGTGCCAGAGAGGATGAGAGGGCATATTTGAGATATGTTACAAAGGTGAAATTGGCAGACTGTGGTAATAGCTTGGATATTGGAGATGAGAGATAGTGAGGAATCCAGGGTGACTCCTGTGTCGTAAGCATGAGGAACTAGGAGGGTGGGGTTGCCTTTTATAGTGATAGGGAAGGGAGGAGGAGGGGGAGGGTTTACGTGTAAAGGTAATGGGTTCTGTTTTAGACATTGAGTTTAAGATGTCTACTGGACAACCAATGTGATATGTCTGAAAGACATTTGGAGATGGGAGATTGGAGGTCAGCAGAGAGTTTGGGGCAGAGATCACCAAATGACGTAATGTAGAGGAGAAGAAAAGGGCCCAGGACAGAACTCTGAGGGATAACTATGGTTTGAGGTCATGATCTGGAGGAGGAACCAGCAAAGGAGACAGAGAAGGTGCACTCAGGTAGGTTACAAGAGAACCAGGAGGGTGATGTCCCAAAAACCTAGAAAGAAGGAAATATCAGGGAAGAGAAAGGGATCCGCGGTGTCATAGGTGACAGAGAGGTCAAGGAGAATTGAGAAAAGACTGTTGGATTTGGCAACTAAGAGATTATTAGTAACTTTAGAGAGAGCAGTTTTAGTGAAATGGTAAGGGTGGAAGCCAGATAGTAAGGGATTAAGAAGAGAGTGAGAGGAAAGAAAGTGGTGGCACCTATTTTAGACAGCCTTTTTGAGGAGTTTAGCTACAAAGGACAGGATGGTTATTGGAGACAGAAGCAACAGCAGGACCGTGAGCTCACAGGACACATGGCAGTAGTACTGGTAGAAGAATAAAAGCCTGAGGTTTTTGTCTTCACAGAGGGTTTATTTCAGTCTTTGCCTCCTCATTCAAGTCTAGCCAGCCAAGAAATAGCAAGAGTTTCCCTTTAGATGTTTATTGTCTTTTGACTACATCCCAGTTGTGGTTCACCAGTCAGTCAAAAGTCCATCTCTTTACAATAGTTAGTGGACTGGAACCAGTTACAGAAGGCTTACACATGTTCAGAAATCCAAATGGGTATTGTATCAGCTGGGTACAGTGGACATGCTAATAAGGATTGGGTCTTATTGGCTAATTCGCCATTGTGAGAAGTAACAAAACCTTGCTTGTCTGTGGCCCTTTTTGAACTTCGTTTTGCTCTCTTCTATTTTTAAACTGTTTAGTTATTGGTCTTTTTTCTTTTTTTTTTTTTGCATCATTATCAGTACAAACCACCATCTCTTCTCCCTCCATTAGAAGCTCTCCCTTGTAATCTCCCTTGCAAAACAATGCAATACATTGGCTTAGTCTGTAAATGTATGTCTCGTTCTTCAACTCTAACCCTGTCTGCCAGGAGGTGGGAAATATACTTCAAAATCTGTCTTCTGAAATCACAGTTGGTCATTTATCATACAGAGTTTTAGAATCTTTAAAGTTTTTTTTACATTATTCTTTACATTATTATGGTTTTGCTCATTTTGCTGCATCAGTTCATACAAATCTTCCCAAGTTTTTCTGAATCTGTCATATTTGTCATTTCTTACAGTGAGATAATATTTATATATGTTTTGTTCAGCCCTTCTCTAGTTGTTTGGAGAATTGTATCCCCCTCTCCCTCCGATACAATTTGTTTCCAGTTCCCTGCTACAGAGGAACTTAATCCTTTTGACTTCTCTATTTGTCAGGGGCAACATCATCTACCTTGTCTCCCCTGTTAATATCTTTTAGACTATTTCATCCCTCTCTAATACACATATACATTATCATGCATTATAGATGTTTATATGTCTCTTAGAAGCAGTGTGATATAGTGGATGAGGGACTGGCCTTGAAATTAGGAAGACCTGAGTCTAAATCCTGCCCTTGACACACAATGTCACATAATGTGACTGTGGGCAAGTCACTTAACTTTTCAGTGTTCTAGTCAACTCTCTAAAGACCGTTACAGATCATATGACTGTATAGCTAGAGCTAGACGTCTTCTCTGAGGCCTTCTAGTCAAACCCATTCATTTTATAGACCAGGGCTCTTAAATTTTTTCTGCTCACATCCTCTTCAGCACTTCCCACAGTTTAAGAAGCATTGTATAGACTGCATGAGTTGCCAAATGCATTGGTGAAAGGAGTTTCCAATATTAGTGAAATCACAAATCTAGAATAAAAGGGAAAAAAAAGATTAGTTATGTATGTGTCATCTCTCTATACATCATAAGTGCCATTAGGGCTTTGTGTTTATACCAACCCAGAAAACAAGGCTCTTTTCTGCACAGAATTAGTGCTTAATAAATGTTTATAGAATTGAATTACAGAACATCCCAGGGCAGTGGTGAAACCAGGGAGGGCCAAGGACTTTCCATGCTCTGTCTCTGCTGCCTGAAGGGGGTCCCAAGTAGGGGGGAGGGAAGAGGGGGAAGGGGGGGGTCAGAGAGGGAGAGAAGAGGAGAGACAGCAATCATGGTCAGTGAATAGGATAAATAAGGAGAACATGACCCAGAAATGTTTATCTAGAAAGTTACATCTGACTAAAGGTGATGGACAGTAGTGAAAGTGCTGCTTGTGATAAATTTAGTGGTTTTCTGTTTATGTGAATAAAATGTAGCATATTATCATTTCTTAATTGATAGCTACATTTCTCTGACCCTCAGGATAAAGATCAAATTAGGCCGATTTTGCTATTTTTATGTATAAATTATCTTTATAAAAGTGCTGTATGCTCTCATAACTTTATTTTTTTAAGTTTGGAGACTTATGCCTTTTTTATAGGACTTACACATTATCTATTTTGTATTATTTTTTATCTGTCACTTTTTCCTCATTGGATGATAAACTTCTGATCTTAGGAACTGAGTCTTATACATCTTTGTATCTTCCCAACATGGGAGCTTGGAAATAGTGGATTCTCACATTTTTGTTGAATGAGTGAATGAATGAATGACTGAATATACAAATTACAGAACCTGGTAGCAGCTTTCATATGAACATCAAAAATGTGTACATATTAATCACTGAAGAGAGAAAGAATGGTCCTCTCTTTAGGAGGAACCTAAAGAGTTGGTCTCTGCATCAGAAAGACCCGATTCAAGTCCCACCTCTGACAAGTGCTGGTTCTTTGGCTCTGGACAAGTCATTCAATTTGTTTGTGCTGCAAGCACATCTCTAAGACTAAATTACAAAGAAGGTGTTGGTCTTCATTGGTAGAGGAAGTTCTTCTCTGGGAGTTCCTGTACTGATGAAATCATAGATCCTGTTCAGATAAAAAGGTAATTAATTGGGAACTTGATGGTAAGAAATGTTAAGAGAAAGTCGTGGGAGAAGTTTTTAAATTCCATCCCAAAATTTATAGGATCTACTGCCTAATACAAATTGGAATTTTCTTTTATCTTGAACTATAAATCTAAAAAATTTCCTTCAGTCCTACTTATAGTCATTCTTGTAAGTAAATACTTAACAGTTAAACTTTTCTTGATAGATTGAAATGCTTTGTGACATAATACCTTATAGAATTAAAATTTTAATACCTTTCAGGAGATGAATTATACCATGAAGACAAAGAATTTTTAGAAAAGAATTTATCAATCAACAAAAAGACTGAAGAAATTATGGGAAAAAACAGAACATTTCACAGAATAGTGTTCACAGCCGTTATCTTTATAGTATCCATGTGACAATTCAGCCAAAATATAAACATATATATCCAGAGAACTTCTTAGGATTTAAGAGCCATTTATAGTTTGCTTCTTGTTTAAAATTGTATTGTGAGAAGTAGAAAGTTTAGGGGCCGCTACGTGGCGTGTTGGAAAGAGCACTGGGCCTAGAGTCAGGAGGACCTGAGTTCAAATCTGGTCTCAAGACACATAACACTCACTAGCTGTGTGACTCTGGGCAAGTCACTTAACCCCAATTGCCTCAAACGGAAAAAAAAAACAAATAGAAAGTTTGTATTGATGAAAAATGAGTGTTAGCAACCTCACAAGCTTAAGAAACTAAAACCCAGGAACAGTGAATCACCATCTTTCTGCAAGTTTAGCTTTTAGGTACTTTTGTTTATTTCCTTCTGCAAACTCTATAGTGTGCCATAACTTTGATTAATATTATCTGTCTAACAAGTTTCTTATATCAGTATGTCAAGGATGATTCTCTCCCCAAAGCAGATTGCAAGGTTTGAGCTGAGGCTGAATCTCAGATAAGTCTAGCTTTTTGCCCACAGTCACACAGTTAGGCAATACAAGAGACAGAACACGAACCCAAATCCTCCTGACTGCCAAGATAACCAGATTATTAAAAAGAAAAGAAAAGACTTGTCAGGTGTCACCATTTCTGTATTCCCACAAAGGTTTAAACCAAAGCAAGTACAGATCACCCTTGTTTTTCTGATTGTCCCTTGTGCTATTAACATTTTGTTAAGGGTGCTGGGTAAGAATGTAGCCATTTTAGGGACACTGAAGCACCTTACCATGGTCATGGGCCACTACAATTTAATTAATCTTTTGGCCTGAACCAATAAAAGGTTGTCAGATTGGCACAAAGGCCCTGTATTCACAGAAGTGGAATAGGAGTGCCAGTCAGTGCTTCATGTATTGTTCTTCTTTGTCTTAAGCGTGTCCTCAGCTTAAGACAGTAAAGCTGTTTAAGGCCAAATGTGATTTGACTTTTTTTCCCAATAGTCCTCAAATTGTGAAATGTGTTGTAGTTAACATTCAAATATTTTAAAAAGAAATATGCAAATACTTATAAATTTTTATTTTTAAAATGTTATTTTATTTTTTATTGCAAAATAATGAGGTACACTGAGGTATACTAGGGCTTATGAGTTCTACAATGATTTACTCTGTAATGATAACTTTCAGTTGTGCCTTTACATACATTTTCCGTTTTAATTCATTAAATTTGTCTGTATTAAGTTTATCTGATGTGAATAACATGTCGACATAGAATGATGTTTTTGACAAAAGTTTGTAATCTGTGGTCAGGACACTGCTCAACACTTTAGTTCCAAAGCTGTCCTGCTTGTCTGAGTCTCCTTCCGAATTTCTTTCTGTAAATTAAAAAAATACTTCAGTGACTCTCTTTTTCTTTTTGGGGGGCGGAGGGGAACATCATTACTGCTAGTCTCTACATTCCAACCCCCTCTCCCTGATTAAGGAAACAGAAATCCTTGTCACAAGTATAATCAAGCAAACAAATCCATACATTGACCATTTCCAAAAATGTGTCATTTTACATGTCAGACTACTCTCCCCAACTTCTTTCAGTTGAGGGGTGGCATCTTTCGTTATTGGTTCTCTGGAGTAGTGATCGTATTGGTTACAGTTCCTAAGTCTTTCCATTTTTAAGTAGTGTTGTAGTTACTATATAGATTGTTTTTTCTGTTTCTGCTCACTTTACTATGCATCATTTCATAAAGTCTTGCCAAGGTTTTATAAATCCATCTCTTTTAGCATTTCTGATGGAACAACAATATCACATCATATTCACATACCTTAATTTGGTTCAGCCATTCTCCAAAACCGATAAGACACCTTTTTAATTTCCAGTTCTTTATTATAATAAAAAATGCAACAATAGATATTTATCATATATGTGGACAGAGGATGGCATTTTAATAATGGAAAAGAAAATAACCTATTGAGTTTCTAATATGACAGCTATATAACATTGAGTTGAGGGCTCCATCAACTATGATATTGTAAATGAAAACAACATTGAAAGATATCAGAATTCATATTACAAAAATGGTTCCAGAGAAGTGATAATGAAATATATTTTTCTTCTCTCTGTATAGAAGAAATAGGCTATAGTTACCTTTAATTCTAATCAAGCTGTTTGATTTATTTGTGTTTTGTTCCTTTGAGGGCACATATATCAGTTACTGTAAAGGACTGTTTTCTCAAAAGAATTTTAGGGTTGGCAAGAACCTTTTAATAGGAAAATTGACCACTGTATATTAGGGAAAATTTTTTTTAATAACAAGCTGAAACCTGACTTCCTATAACTTCTGCACATTGATTCTAGTTTTGTCCTCTGAAATTAGAAGAGGACCAATCCCTTTTTCCCAATACAACCCTTAAAGTATTTGAAGGTAGTGATTGCCTTTTAGTCTGTTCTTGATCAAATTTACCCAAAGAATTGATCATATGGAGGGCAGAGCCAAGATGGCAGAATAGCGGGAAGAACTACAGTGAGCTCCCCTCTACCTTTAATATCTAGAAAATACACAAAACTGAATTCTGATGGAGAAATTCAAGACAAAAAAATCATGAGTCATATTTTTTCTCATCCCAGGAAAACAAAGAGGTCTGGGGACACTGGGGTTGGGTCTGGCACCCAGGAACTGAAAGAGGACAAGGCAGGGCAGCTCCATACAGGGACACCACAGCCTCATGCAGGGTATGGGAACAGGTGCCAATGGACAGTTGCAGGTCACAGATCCAGCACAGAATGAGGAGGAGACCTGTACTCAGGGGTGGCAAAGAGGAGAGTGGTCACAGGACCTGCACGTGTACCAAGAGGAACAAGGTTAGAAGCAAGGAGCAGTTTTGTGGCTCAGATGCTGTGAGCTGGGTGGGGTCTGAGTTCCAACTTCTAGCCCACTCAGAAGTCTGCAGAGGAATAATGAAGTAGATATTGAAGACCAAAGGTTCTATCTGCAAAATCTATCACTGTGATTCAGCAAAGCTCTCCATCTGGCTGATAGAGAATGAATCCATTAGCAGACCCAAACCTAGGTCAGGAATTTGCAGAACTCAGACCAAAGGGACAGTGATCAAACTTTGCCCTGGAGCAGACCACTGATAGCTTGCAGGTCTCCAGCCTAATCTGTCGCTGAGATTCTGGAATAATATAATCTCAGTACCCCCAAAAAAGCAGCAACAGGACCAGCCTAGACTTTTGCCCCTAAAATGTATATAGCCTGGCCTTAATATCATCTGAAGTAAGAAGATAGGCTGGAAGAATGAGTAGACAAGAATTCCACTGCAAAATCTAGTACCCTAATAGGGATGCTCAAGACAGAAGCCCGTAAGATATGACTCCAAGACACCCACAAGTAAAGCCTCAAAGAAAAATACAGCTTGGGCACAAATTCAACTACAATTCTTGGAAGAATTGAAGCAAGAGTTTACATTTTTTTAAAATAAAATGAGAGGGGTAAAGGAAAAAATTGGAGCAGAAACTGTTTGGTACAAGAGGTACAAAACCTTGCCCAAATGTAAAACTCTCAAGATTAGAATGGGCCAGATAGAAGCCAATGATTCAGTGGGAACTAGAAATATTAAAAACAAAGTCAAAAGACTGAAAAAAATAGAAAAAAAAAGTATTTCACAACAAAAACAACTGACCTGAAAAACAGTTCAAAGTTAAAAATTTTAAAAACATTAGACTACTTGAAAACTATGACCAAGAAAAAAAAGCTAGATATCATATTTCAAGAAATCTTAAAAAAAAAACCTGTAAAGATATCTTAGAACCAGAGGGCAAAGTGAAAATAGAAAGAATGCAACTGTCACTTCCTGAAAGAAACCCCAAAATGAAAACACCCAGAAACCAAAATCCAGAACTTCGAAGTCAAAGAAAATACTGCAAGCAGCCAGAAAGAATTCAAGCAGTGAGGAGCTGCAGTCAGAGAATCACACAATTTAGCAGCCTCCAGAAGAAAGGAATGGAGAGCTTGAGATATATTCTAGAAGGCAAATTTATGGCCAAAAATAACTTTCCTAGCAAAACTGATTATAATCCTATGAGGGAAAATGACCTTTAATGAAATAGTGAACTTCTAAGCATTCTTGATGAAAAGACCAGAGTTGGGTAGAAAGTGAAGTTTTTTAAAAAGCTTATTTAATGGGGGGGGGGGGCGGAGCCAAGATGGCAGAGTGAAAGCAGTGACTTGCTTGAGCTCTTCCCCAAACCCCTCCAAATACCTATAAAAAATGGCTCTAAACAAATTCTGAAGCAGCAGAACCCACAAAAAGACAGAGTGAAACAAATTTCCAGCCCAAGACAACCTGGATGGTTGATCAGAATGGCATATTGCGCATGGCGGGGAGAGGAGCACAGTGCAGCTTGGGTGCTCAGGCTGCAGGGAACCTGGAGCAGGCCTCAGAGGACTGAATCATGGCAGCTGTGGTGGTTTCGAGACTTCTCAACCTATGAATGCCAAAGACAGCCTAGAAGGTCAGTGGGAAAAGTCTGTTTCTGTAGTGGTGAGAGAGGAGCACAGGGTCTCAGCTCCAGTTCCCAAGAGTATGGCCCCCTGGGTGGCGGCTGCTTCCTGAACTTCTAGCCCACAGACCAAGGGGGAATTGGGTGGCTGATCAGAGGGGGATTGCAGGGATCTCTCTGCTGGTGCAGGATGCTGTTGCTTTGCCTGTGCCTGGATCTGGGTCATAGTTCTGGGTGGTGATCCTGGGGCTAGGAGGAGTGCTGGCATGGTGGAGCTTGTAGTGGCTGTGGAGAGGAAACCCTCACAGTTCCAAGACAGAAAAGACTGCTTGTGGTCACTCATAGACCAGAGCACAGGCCAGGAAAGGAGTAAACACCTCGCCCTTGATCATAGCACCTTGGAAGAACTGAAAATTTACAGGTCCCTAGAAGTATCTCTGAAAACAGCTGCACAAAACCCCTGAAGCTTGGGACAGTACATTCTCCACACTGGAAACAGACTCCTACCTTAACAAAGAGTTTATAATTCAAGTAATTGGCCGGAATCATGAGCAAGCAGCGCAAAAAGAATTGGACTATATTATCTTACTTTGGTGACAAAGAAGATCAAAACATACAACCAGAAGAAGACAATGAAGCCAAAGCTCCTACATCCAAAGCCTCCAAGAAAAATATGAATTGGTCCCAGGCCATGGAAGAGCTCAAAAAGGATTTTGAGAAGCAAGTAAGAGAAGTAGAGGAAAAACAGAGTGATGCTAAAGGAGACCCAAAAAAAATTGAAGAAAATAACACCTTAAAAAATAGCCTAACCCAAATGGCAAAAGAGGTCCAAAAAGCCAATGAGGAGAAGAATGCCCTAAAAAGCAAAATTGGCCAAATGGAAAAGGAAGTCCAAAAGCTTACTGAAGAAAATACTTCCTTAAAAATTAGAATGGAGAAATTGGAAGCTAGTGACAATTTGAGAAATAAAGGCACTGTAACACTAATCCAAAAGAATGAAAAAATAGAAGAGAATGTGAAATATCTCATTGGAAAAACAACTGACCTGGAAAATAGATCCAGGAGAGAGAACTTAAAAATTATTGGACTATCTGAAAGCCATGATCAAAAAAAGCCTAGACATCATCTTTCAAGAAATTATCAAGGAAAACTGCCCTGATATTTTAGAACCAGAGGGCAAAATAGAAATTGAAAGAATCCACAGATCACCTCCTGAAAGAGATCCCCAAAGGAAAACTCCTAGGAATATTGTAGCCAAATTCCAGAGTTCCCAGGTCAAGGAGAAAATATTACAAGCAGCCAGAAAGAAACAATTCAAGTATTGTGGAAAGACAATCAGGATAACACAAGATTTAGCAGCTTCTACATTAAGGGCAGGGCATGGAATATAATATTCCAGAGGGCAAAGGAGATAGGATTACAACCAAGAATCACCTACCCAGCAAAACTGAGTATAATCCTTCAGGGTAAAAAATGGTCATTCAATGAAATAGGGGACTTTCAAGCATTCCTGAGGAAAAGACCAGAGCTGAATATAAAATTTGACTTTCAAATACAAGACTCAAGTGAAACATGGAAGAGGTAAACAGGAAAGAGAAATCATAAGAGACTTATTAAGGTTGAACTGTTTACATTCCTGCATGGAAAGATGATATTTGTAACTCATGAGTCCTTTGTCAGTATTAGGGTAGTGGGAGGGAAAAAAATTATATGTATGTATACATAGATAGAGGGCACAGGGTGAGTTGAAGATGAAGGGGTGATATCTGGAAAATAAAATTAAGGGGTGAGAGAGGATTATACTGGGAGAAGGAGAAAGGAGAAGTAGAATGGGGTAAATTATCTCACATGAAACAGACAAGAAAAGGCTTTTACAGTGGAGGGGAAATGGGGGATGGTGAGAGG